CACTTGTCCCAATTGTGACTTACTTAACAATCAAATACAAAATTTGTAGCAACGCTGTATATCAACAAAAGCTGAGAAGGCCCGACATGTACTAATGATACTGGACTATGAAAAATTGCAGCTTCCAAACAGCCAGCACTGCACTATTTCTATGGATCTCGAACAGGTTTTCTCTATATCTACCTTGACACACTCGCACATGTATTACTTGCGACAGTTGTCATGTTACAATCTAGGTGTTTATGTGGGGGATAATAATCAAGCACTAATGTTTATTTGGCATTTGGGAATAAGTGGCAGAAGGGAAAACAAAATATCTTCTTGTTTACTTAAAGCAGTCACCCTTAGAATGACAAACAAAAAGAAATTGATTATATGGAGTGATAACTGCTCGGGGAAAGAACAAAAACATAATGATGTTGTTTTTGTGGTTTCAGGTAACTCATTTTTGTTATGTGACAGAGATTTTGCCTTAATTGAGAAAAGGAGACGACTGGAGAGGTGTGAGGTCCCATTGGACATTCTTAGAATAGTTGTTAGTTCCTGGCCTTAAAAGCCCTTCATTGGTACTTTGTTGAAATCCTCTGACTTTTTTAATTGTAAAGAAGCAGCAAACAAGTGTCTTAATACCATAAAACTCGAAATTTGCAAAGCTGAATGGCTGAAAGTTTCAAAAGAACATCCTGGGCTGGTAAGTGTCAAGAAAACCTTCAAGGAATTGGAACCATGGGCAGAAACAAATCTATTTAAAAAGAATATAACTGATAAACAAATAAAAATTTACTTGTACCACTATATGGTGAAAGTAAAATAAAACAAGAGGAGAAAGAAGACTTAATTTTTTTTTACCTTATTTGAAAGAAGAGAACAAACTATTTTATGAGGAATTACTTCAGTAAATTAATTACAATAGCCTATAGTAAAGCTTTATATAATCAAAACTGTTCCTTCTTATACTAATTAAATGTTAATTTCAAAATAATTTGTATAAGTTTTCCTTATTATTTTAATTTAAGTCCTCAGTTAAACCTATTATTGTTTATTACTCTGCTTATATCTCGTTTTTTGATATAAAGATATATGTCACTTAGCCCAATATTTACCAAATTTGTACTTTTACTGCTCTTAGCGTTTCCAAAAATTACATTCTTTCTTTCAAATTTTACTAAAAAAATATAGTAATAGTATTGATATTTTTTGTGCATAAAACTTATCAGGCTAACAATTACAACCTTTTTTGTATTTTAAAGCTATTTAAGTAAAGGAAAGTTGATTTACATGGTTTTTAGTTTCCATAAAACTAAGATTTTGGCACTTAGCCCGGGTTTTACTTTTATGTGCTACATTTGATCAAATTTAGGATATGACGTCACATGCCGTCACTTTTTTGGTTTGTTCAAACTAATTTGATTTGGCCGTGTTTTTTTTAATTAATAGACACGCAAATCAATACAAATGTAGACACTCGTCACGTAACAATCCTAGTTGGGTACGTGAATACCACACACATTATCCAGATAAACTTAATGTATAGGCTGGAATAATAAGCGGCAAAATAATTAGTCCCTTTTTTATTTTTCGAAATTGAAATTTCATTATTCTAAACTCTTAGATAATAATAATATAATAAACGACAATATTTGACTGCAACAAGATGGTGCTCCACCTCACTATGCGAGTGTGGTGAGACAATATCTAAATAATGAGATTCCCAGGAGATGGAATGAAAGGCATGGTTTTATTGAATGGCCCCCTCGATCACTCGACGTTTTCTGTGTCTTTAGACTATTTCATAATATTCAGGAATTAAAAGATAGGATTACCCCAGACATAAGAAGAATTATTGAGCAGTCAGGGATGTTGCAAAACGTACTGGAAAGTTTTAAAAATAGTATGGATTGTTGTATTGAAGTATTGAAATATTGACATACCTTTAACAAGAATATATTTTCATCTGCTGCAGGTTTTCTGTCCCATGATTTGGATAAATCTTTTACTGCACCATGTAGCGTTTACGCTACTGATTAGTGCAATATTATCAGAGTTTAAAAATTGTATTAATAAAACCCCTCACGAAACTTCTTGTGACCCGCCCGCGATCGATTTTTAAATCGACATTTTTCCACACACGCGCAGGAGTCGCTTTGAAAGGAAGATTGGTCGAGTTTGTGCGGAAGCCGTTAGTTTCTGGTCAGAACTCAGCGCAGACACGTCAATCAGTGAAATTTTCTCACGTTCAAAGTGACGGAATTGGAGCAAGGAAAATAATCTGGGGGAAGAATAAAATAATAATAATAATAATTAATTTTTAAAATCAAGATTCATTTATAAGAGTTCCACATAAAAAGGAAGATTTTTTTTGGCGTGCTGCGGCTCCATGTAAGTAAATTATTTCATACGTATTATCTCTTTATCATATAATCAAATTTATCATTGCAGTTTAGTATTTCTTTAGAGATTTATTTTTGAGTTCCGAAATAATTTAAATTTAAAATTTCCTTGATTCACTCGCGAAGAACATAAGGTCATTTTTTATATAGTCAAACTTAAATTCTGTTTTAGTCCACGTCGTATCATTAGGTTTTTTGTTTTTTTTTTCTCTAATTTTTTTTGGTGGAATATAATAGGCTCTACAATTATTGAACAGCCTTCTGTATTCTGCGCATGTTCATTTCATGGCGCAAGCCTGTCATGTCTACGAAGTAACTTCAGAAATTTTGACATGTTGACCTAACCTAATGTTTTGATGTTTTGTTTTGGTGCAGTCAATCCATGCTGCTACACCTAGTAAATTACATAAAAATTAAATCTGATAATTCTTTTAGATTCCGTCACTTGAGAGTATTCACTTAAGAATATTCCCTTAAGGATATTCGTTAGTAACAGAATTTCTTAAATAGTTAGCAACTCTCGTGGATTTTGCCGTCACTCCGATCAGATAGACCAGTGACTGGTTTTGTGCCCAGACTCCCCTGGGATTTGTCCTTTACAGCAACAAACTGATTTAGCCGTGCCAAGAGGAGTTTTCCTATGGACTTATAGTGCTGTAAAGATAAGTTGTTTGACTGTCTAACCTTTTTGTTACTTTCTATTTAGTAGTGTACACTTTTCATATGCATATGATCAGGTGAATACATTTTTGATATAATATAATTCTAAAATATTGGGGAGGGAAAATACATTTCATGTTTTTATTAGGTTTTTTAAATAGGATATAAAGAGTCTGACCAAACTCACTTTTTGATATAATACTTTTTTTATTACAATACATTTTGATATAATACAATTTTGATATTGGGGAGGGAAATAAATTTCATGTGGTTTTTGAAACATTATAATATAAGGAATATGTAACAACTCACTTTTTATCTATGATATAAATGGTACTAGATTTATCAATTTTCATATCTTTACCATACTGTCACTTGTATCTCATTCTAGTGAACTAAGTTAAATTAAATTACTAACTTTTAGTGTTAGGACTTTGGCCTACTTATTAGGTTTTAACTAATATTTCACACTTTATTTGGCCAGTGGTAGTGACTATTCGCTTGTTGAGGGGCTATTAGGTCCTATTGTATCTTTACACCACCCACTACCACTGTTATTTAGTTTTGCTTTATTATTATTATTTATTTTATTATAAATTGTTAATACATATATATCTATATACACGTTTTTATAAATACATTGATTGTTACTATTTTGAGTTTTATTTGCAGTTTCTACTAACCAGTATATAATATAGCAAGACAAGATTAGTATTTAGTATTTTGTATTTCAGGTTATTATCTCCAGAATCATTTGTTTTCAGTCATTTGTTACTTCAAAATCTCAACTATCGTTGAGTTAGCGCCCTTCTTCTTCTCTTTTTATCGTCCTTTTCTATAAATTTATTCCCAGTGACCTTCTTTAGTTGTATCACGTTTGATATTAATAGGTCTCATTTCATTTCTTGTCCCATTAGCTCATTATCCTTGCTATCTGCTTTGTATCTTTAAAGCCACAATTCAGTGCATTGAAGCTAGCCCGAACACTCACTTGAGATTTAGTGTCTCTTTGGCCATTTAACTTTGTTCCTCTGAGCTTAGCCATATTTTTAGTATTTTCATCGCCTCTCTTCCAGTTCTTCTGAAATTTGGAAGTTCTACACTTCCTAAAATCCAATACTCCCAGAGTAGTGAGGTTTCAACCAGTTAGGTTAAAATTTTTACTAATTTAATAACAATAGACCTTGATATGATATTATTAGGATATAAATGATGGAAGATTATTCAAATTAAACAAGTTTATTCATCTACATCTATTATTTTAACTTCGGCGAAGATAATACAAATCTAGTAACAACTCAGAAATTATGCCATTTAAGTATAGAGAATATTACATGAAAAATAATCAGTATTTCTTAATAAAGATTTCAAAAGGTAAAACATATACAGGGTGCTCTATTTGAAGTAAGAAAGTTAATTATATTTACAGAAAAATCGAAGATCTGACAACAATGTAAATACCACCATAATATCGGCCGCATTACAAGACCCTCACAGACCAAAATCTATCAAAATCGTGCAAAACGTTTCCGAGATAATTGAGGGGTTCCATACATAAAACATAAATAAGGCGGATATAATATTAACTATCAAATGACGAAAACTTGAGTACTTAGGACATGTGATAAGAGGGCAAAAATACACATTAGTACAATTTATTATGCAAGGCAAAATCCGGGGAAAGCGAAATGTGGGAAGACGAAGAATATCCTGGCTTAAAACTTAAGGGAATGGTTTGAATGCAGTAGTGCAGAACTTTTTAGAGCGGCAGTCAACAGAGTCCGCATAGCCATGATGATTTCCTACCTTCGATAGAAGATGGAACTTAAGAAGAAGAATACATAAAACTCACTCTGCATGTACTATCATATATTCCATCAGCGAGATTGAGAACTTTCCGACCTGCCTCGTACAGCTACTGTAAAAAACTGAATATATTTATATACTGACCATTGCAGTGCAAGCACTTGTGCAGTATCCTGATAATGAAAAACGACTTTGTCCCGGTGGGATAGCCATTTTGTCCGTATATTCTAATCCGAGTTCTATTACACCAGCATCCATGGGTTTCAAGACTGAAGAAATGTGGAATCGTATACCTGAACTGTCTACTAAACCTGAAAATGTTTTATGCCATTAGTAGGTATTAAAAAATATAGTATTAAGTCATGTACAGCATTCTCATGCACCCTGCTGTTTTCTACTGTGATATGCATTTTCAAATCAAGTATAGATTAGGTTACAATTTCATTTACTGGATAAAAAACCTAGACTTTTATGAATTAAAATATATTACCTGCTTTAAGGTCTAGATTGTTATAGTGTACCTCTAGCATGATGTAAGGATTGAAATTTTCTCCACCCAAGGCCAGACTTGCTTCCTAAAACATTAGTCCTAGTTACTCTATTGAAAATGTTTCTTTCTAACATCTCAGCATTTATTTCTTAAGTTTTGGATGATAGGAGGCGACTATAATTGATACTGTGAAAAATCCGAATAAAAACGAAATGAAATGATAAAAATTAAAGAACAGAATACACCACAAAGATAAACGTTGAAAGACTGCAGATGATTCAACGAGGTATTTATTCCAAAAAAAGGAGAACAGAAAGAAGCAGAAGCATATATATCATAGAAAGTAATAAAAAAAAAATAAAAATAAATTGTACGAGAGCGAAAAAATCCATCCAAAATGCAGAAGTTATGAAAAAATGTTCTTCTTGTTTTGTGTCTGTTTTTCTATGTGTCTTTAGTAAGTTGATGTTCAATCTTTTTCGTGGTCTTCCCATTGATCGTCTTTCTATTAAGGAACCGTTTCTCGCAGTCTTTACTACGCTATTTGTTGTCATTCGACTTAAATGATAATTCCATTGTACTCTTCTATTTATTACCCAGTCCTTGATGTTCTCCTCTTGCATCTCCGTCGTCTATCTGTACTTCTGGCTCTATCTGACCATCGATTTTTTACCTATGCTATTCCTAGCATTTTCTTGTTCCCTCTGTATTAGGTCGTGTTTCTGCCGCGTACGTCATTATTAGTCTGATTGGTTTGATGAGTGCCTTTCTGCCTTTCATATCTTTCCGGATATTTTTATTTTTCGGTGCGTGTACTTGCCGACCTAAAACCAGCTCTCCTCTGTCCAATTCACAAGAAAGGTGAAAAAACTGTCTGTAAAAATTACAGAGGAATTGCACTATTAGAAATAGTACATAAAGTATCATCAAAATTTTACAAAGTAGATTAAAAACCTACGAAACAGAGCTAATAGGAGAGTATCAGGCTGGTTTCAGACAGTAAAGAACAAGAACTGATCAAATTTTTATGCTTGTTATTACAAAACAAATGTTATGAAAAAAACCTTGGTTTACATATGTTTTTATTAATTTTAAACAGACCCCATCTTACAAAGCGGACTATACGAAGCAATAAGAGCGCTAGGAATATCCGAGAAACTGATACGAATAGTTAAAATGACGTTAACTTATACACAATAAAGTCGTTTGTGATAGAAGGAACTGTTCCAAATCTGTTTAAACGGCAATAGAGGATTAAAACAGGGAGATCCTCTGTCAATAAACTTATTCAACCTAGTACTAGAAAAAATAATTAGAGGAGCCAAAATGCAGACAAACGGTACGATCCTTAACAAAAGACAACAATACATATGTTTCGTATTTATTAGTTTGTTCATTTCTTTTCTTTTCCTCTGATCTTCTTTATGTGCCGTCTTCTATCGAAGGTTGGCGACCATCAAACGATAGGATTCTCTGTTTTGTGCCGCATGTATTATGTTCGCAGCTTCTGGTATTTGAAACCATTCTCTCAAGTGTCTCATCCAGGATTTCTTCTCTCTGACCAAACCTCTTCTATCTTTAATCTTGCCTTCCACGATAAGCTGTAGTTTTCTATGATTCCTGTGATCAATCTACATATTTCTCTTTATATTTTGTAGAAGTCGTATTCCATCTGTTTTGAGAAGCTCTCCCATTGTTCTCTTTTTATTTATTTCACTAAAGCATCCCTTTCATTTCGGATTAGTTTGTAGTGGATGTATGCCTGCTGTGTTTGTTGTGTTCTGTATTGTAAAAAAGCTTTCTTCTTTTTTCACATTTTGTCTTCACTTCCTCTCTAAACCATGGGGTTTTCTCTTTTGGTATGGTAGTGCTTGTTGCCTCTTTCTCTCCAAGTTTTCTAATATTTCATTCCCAGCAATCTTCTCTAATATTCTTTTTTGTATAAGTATTCCGTGGATTCCGTATTTAGTCCTTAGACTCTGATTTTTGTTTGTATACGTGCATCTCTCTTGGGTGTGCTGTATTTAGGTGTGATGTATGGAAAAATGTAAAGAGAAGAAAAACTAATCTGAAATATAATATTATCTAAAACAATCTAAGGAGATGAAGAAAACGAAACAACCATACAATTATAAGATAATAAGAAAGGAAACATATGCTCTCATAAAAAGACTAAAAGAAACGTTTTTCAAAAGTAGCCATAACAGATACGGGACCTAAATACATAGGTAACGGAAGACTCGGTCAAAAAAAGAAAAAGGATATAGCATGAGAAACAAGGAAGTCAAAATAGTCTGTTATGCTGACGACACAATATTGATAGTTCAAGATGAAGATCATTGACAAAGACGTGAAAGATCTAAAGTCTTCAAGGTGTCACCCTGTTTTATTACTATGAATGTTTCTACCTTATTAAACATTACTTACTTTTGGATATGTGAATGGAGTTGCCCCCATAGCCCATGCGGCAAGCACCTTCTTGCACACTTGTGTTTTCGGCGGTCTGTCTTCCGCAAAGCAATTTCCATCATATAAAGGAATTTCTTCATTTGCATCTGCCTGACAATGAAACACTTCCATGTGATGGACGACGCCTTCGCTACTGTCTTGAATGTGAGCTCCGTACTAACAAAGACATGGAAAAAATAATTTCAATAATCATTAATATATCAAAACAGTCTGATGTGTTGTAGTGTTCTCGTATTATATTTACGGTCCGGTTTGGTAACTAGTCCCTCTTTAGTTCTGACCTCTCGGAGGCAGTGTAGTGGTTATTGTGATATCGTATATTGTTCGTCTCCAAAGATCTCTGTCTCTAGCCATTTCTTTTAACTCATACATAGGACTTTTGCATAGTCTCTAATTTGGTAGATCCATATTGTTGGGGATCTTCCTCGTGATGTTCGGCCTTCTACCTTTCCTTGGAATTCCTTTTCTGTGTATGCTCTCATAACATATCCAAAGTATTTTAATTGTTGATGAGAGACTTTGCTGGATAGCCGTTTGCTGACTTTTAGCTCATTTAAAATGGAATACTTCGTCCTGTGGTCAGTCCACGGAATTCATAACATTCTTCTCCAGCAAAACATTTAAGTGGCGTCTATCTTTTCTCTTTCCGGTTGTCGTAGGGTCCAAGATTCACATCCATATGTCAGTATTGGGAATATTAAGCAGTTGATAAATCTTATTTTTAGAGTTTGCGAAACTTGAGAGTCCTTCCATATTTTGGTCATCTTTTTTGCGGCGACTTTTGCTAGCTCACATCCTGTGTTTGTGATCAATGATCCCAGATATAAGTTTGAGCTCTCAACCTCAAACCGGTCAATTGTGCTTATGTGTGTATGATTGTTATGTAGCCTCTGTCATGATCTTTTTCTTTGATATGATAATTCTCTTACAATTATGATCTTTCTCATGATTGTAAATCATCAATCTCATAATAAAATAAAATATAGTTTTATAGTTGTCACATTTATGGAAGATTTTAATTGTAGATTTTATCCCGTCGTCAGGCCATTGCTTGGACTGCCATATTTTGTTACAGAGCAAGTGAAGCAATTTTATTTCATTTCGGTTTCTTCTGTAGCTTTAAGCATCTCTGATGTTATCATATCTAGACCTAGTGCTTTGTTACACTTGAGTTTACTACTCGCCAGTCTTATTTCATTCTATAGTATATTAGGTTCTTCTTTTATTTCATCGGGGGTTTGGTGAACAAGTTCCTGGTTTTGATCATTTTTATATAGATGCCAGATGATATAAATCTTCTGTGGTGGTTCTCAGGGTTCTTATGCGGTCTTCAAAGACCCAAGTTCTGACTCTAAAGTATCTTGTTATGTAGCATATTTTTCTAAATATGTCTCTTAGTTGATTGTTTTGATCGTGGCTCTCCATTTATTTACATACACAGTGATCGTATTGTTGTTTATCAGTCTTACACCTTAATTTTATTTCGTTGTTAAGTTTTCTTAAACAAGACTATGTACCCTTTGATTTTTTGCACTTCGACAAATATTTCTTCTATTAAATGCGTTAGGCTCTTACTGCCATCGTCTAACTTGTTAAACTGTTTGTTCAGGCTGTCAGGCCCGAGATATCTTTTGAGATTAGTTCTCGACGTTTCGCCAACATTAGGGGTTGGCATTTTTTTGGAGATGTTACTGCTTCGATTGTAAGCTAAAACTGATGCCGCGTTGTACTACGGATGCCATATTTATATTTTGTAGCTTTTTTTTCCCTGTTTTGCGGGAAGGTTGTTTGTGGATTTTAATATTGGTATACATGGTTTGTTAATTTTTAGTCCTTCTTCTAACCGATTAAAATCTTATGGAAATCTGTCTTATGGAAAAACATTATTTTAAATATTTAACTTTATTACGCGAAAAGTGTAAATCTCTCGTAGAGTCAAAACTACCCAGTCTTACTACTCAAACTCGCACTGTTACATAAACCACGCCTACTAATGTAAAACTACCCCAATTATCACTTCAAATCATCTTAGGCAACTACGATGAATGGATATCATTTTATTAACTCTTTACCTCTTTAATCAGTGATAACCCGTCTCTGACAAATAAACCCCTCTGGTTTATATACCTCAAAATCTTCTCTAAAAAATGAAGCTCTCGCCTTAATTGACTCTCTTGAATTAACCCACGAAAACTTTACCATTGCTCTTGACCTCTTGGAAAAACGATACTCTAATATCTTAAATATAATCAACGCACACTTAAAATCCATTTTGGACTACCCCACTCTCACTAAGGCTAATGCCCAAACACTGAGAGCTTTCGTAACTACAATAAGAAAACACATTCAATCTTTAAAAAACTTAAACATTCCAGTAGACACTTGGGATATCATCTTAGTTTATATTATTTCAAGAAAAATTGACTATAACTCCAAAAAACAATACGGAGAAAAAATAATTAAATCAGATTTACCCACATTAGACGAGTTTTTAGACATTTTAGAAGATAGGTGCAATTTATTAGGTGATTTAAATGACTCACGTGACCATAAAACAGAAAAACCTTCTCCAAAATTTTCTCGCACTACTTCTCTTCACACTAATGTTACCTACAATAATTATTTCACTTCTAAATGCACATACTGTAATGATTTCTCTCATATGATATATCTTTGTCCACGTTTCTCATCTCTACCACACTCTGAGAAATTAAATTTCACACATTCTCAACACATATGTACAAACTGCTTGGGCACAAGACATTCTTACAATGAATGCATCTCTAAACTTGCTCGATTTGTTCTAAAAAACATCACACTCTCTTGCACGTACGCAAATCCCACAACACTAACTTCTCGCACCCATCTCACAATTCAGGCACATCTCAAGGCCAAAGAACTACCTATCCTCAAGGCAATCAACATAATTACAGATCCAATCTAAATCCAATACATTCTGATGTCAATTCCAGAAAACATAATTATCGTCAAACTCAGAAAATTTAAACTCTAATTTAAATTCTAATAAAAACCACACAGAATTCGACGACATGCCATCCTCTTCTGGCAATAACATTCACCCCGAGTCTGTCACAGCGGTATCTCTATACCACTAACCTTGTAATGTTCTATTAGCAAAAATTATAATATCGATTCAATCAAAATCAGGACATATGATAACAACCAAGGCACTTCTCGATAATGCTAGACAAAGTAGCTTTATATCAAGGAACCTTTTCGAAAAAATTAGCTGTAAAGCCCTCCAACTGGAGGGCTCCACTTCAATTTTCTGGAATTTCCCAGAGCTCAATCATGTCTAACATAATGGCAAATTAAAAGTGAAACTGGAACAAACCATGAAGTGGAGATATCCAGGAGTGGCTAGTATACCTGTTGAATACAAAGCACATGGTGTTCGTGTGTATTAAGGTACACACGAACATCACGTGCTTTGTATAATGGCAAATATTACAATTTTCTCTACTAATGATAAAAGCAATAAACTTAACATGTCTTGTTACGTACTCGATAGAATAACTACCCCACTATCGCAGACGCACATACCCCTAGAATTGCTCGAAATATCACAAAACATTTCATTAGCCGACAATGAAATTCTTCTCAACTTCAAGAATTGACATTTTGATAGGTGCTGACAAATACTACGAACTCATTACCGGTGGCATCGTAAGATTAGGAAAAAATCTCCCTGTCCTTCAAAACACCTTTTTTGGTTGGATTGTCGCTGGTAGTGTACCTCATAATCATCTACAAAATCAAAGAGTATCTTTATTTACTCAAACTTCTAATGTTATCTCCGAAAACAACTCTTCCCTTAACTTGCTTCTTCCCAAATTCTGGGAAATACCCACTAAAAAACTTTTCACCCCGACTGAAGAAATTGCTGAACTTGACTTCAAGAAAAACTTCAAAAATTTTAGAAAACTGACGATTCCAAGTCAATCTTCCCCCTAAATGCCTCTCAGAGTATACCAAACTAGGTGACTCGTTTCTATATCGCTAAAAAACGATTCGAAGTCTTAGAAAAGAAATTCCAAGTGAATTACTCATGGACGTATAAACACAGATGGACTCAGTTATTTACATAAAATTGTGAAGTCAAAATTATTTGAATAAGTCACATTCTGAACACCTTTAACTGTTGTCACGTTTTGTTTTAAAATTTCTTATTCGCGAGTCGCTGAAAATATTACTCCGTATTTTATACTCTACAGGTGCTATCAAACCAAAATAATAATTTATTGTTTATATTAATATATTTAATTGTAATCAAAATATCATGTGTGCACATAGTGTGCATTATCATTTAATAATGGCGTATAATAATCAATTATTTTATATGTAGAAGCACTGAAAACTATTTATAAGTGGAAACGGTTATTTACATTTCTCTGTCTTATGGATCTACGTCAAACTTCAAATGCTGTTCCATGTTTGTTTACTTTTAACAGTAAATGAGGAAAAAGTTATTTTTCGATATTTTGGCTGTATTTTGAGTAATATTTGTGAAAAGTGAAATAAAATAAACGAAATATTTACATCCCGATCTCTCATTTCATTTGTAAGGACATGCAATTTAAATTATTTAAGATGAGGAAATGAGGAAGCGTGTTTGTTTACATTTTAATAGGCGTACCATTGGGTTTATTCATGTTCATTAATGTATTGAATAAGATATGATAGACATTTATAAATTCATCATCATCTGATGAGACATCATCTGATTAAAAAAGATCTGTTTAGTACCTTTTTAATTTAATATTTCTCATGGATACAAATAAATTAGTGAAATAAATAAAACTTATTTATTTTTCTATGTAGGTTTCCAAATAATATTGACGATCGAACTATTTGGGTAGCAAATTAAGCAGAAAACATAAAGATTTTTTATTGTAGCATTATTTTGATACTATTAAAAAATTAACTTGAATTCAACTATATTTAATTGTATTAATTTTAAAGCAAATAAAATTGTATTTTAATTTTTCTATAAAGACGTAATTTGTTAATAGTTAAACTCTCGTTTTTTTTTAAAATTCTTTGAACGTGTTTTTATACATTATTACCACTTCCAATTTTTAAAATCTGAATAATTACCCGCGAGTAAAAATTCAAGCACGCTT